TTGGAGGAAGAGGTTTATATGAAACAACCGCCTGGTTTTTCTGATCCTGATCATCCTGACCATATATGTCGTCTCACCAAAGCACTCTATGGTCTGAAGCAAGCTCCTCGTGCCCGGCATGCCCGCCTTGCCTCTGCCCTTCGTGCTCATGGGTTTGTGTCGTCCACTGCTGACTCTTCATTATTCCTTCTACAGAAGCCAGAAATCACTATGTATCTTTTGGTATATGTCAATGATATTATCCTTGTCAGCTCTTCTCAGCATGCTGCTGATGCTCTTGTCTGCTCTCTTGGTGCTGATTTTGCGGTCAAAGATCTTGGGAAGCTTCACTACTTTCTTGGAGTTGAGGTCACTTCTCGTGCTGATGGTCTTGTTCTTACGCAGAAGAAGTACTCCTTGATTTGTTGCAGCGAGCTGGTATGCTGAAGTGCAAACCGACTACCACACCCATGTCGTCTACCGACAAGATCACAGCTGTTGATGGTGAGCTTCTGTCTCCTGCGGATGCCACAGAGTACAGGAGCATTGTTGGTGGGCTTCAGTACTTGACGATCACGAGACCAGATATCTCTTATGCTGTTAACAGGGTTTGTCAGTATCTTCAGGCTCCTAGAGACACTCATTGGGCTGCTGTTAAACGCATTCTTCGTTATGTTCAGTTCACGGTGACATTTGGGATGCATATTCGGCCGACTTCCTCTCGGGTTCTTTCGGCCTTCTCTGATGCAGATTGGGTTGGCAGTCCAGATGACAGGCGATCCACGGGGGTTATGCAGTGTTCTTTGGCTCCAATTTGATCGCCTGGAGTGCTCGGAAACAGGCTACTGTGTCACATAGTAGTACTGAAGCTGAGTATAAGGCTGTGGCTAATGCTACTGCAGAGATTATCTGGGTGCAGTCTTTGCTTCAGGAGTTGGGTTTGTCTCAACCACAGCCTCCTATCCTTTGGTGTGATAACATCGGTGCTACATATCTTTCTGCAAATCCGATATTTCATGCCCGAACGAAACACATTGAAGTTGACTATCACTTTGTACGGGAACGTGTGTCGCAGAAGCAATTCCAGATCAAGTTCATCTCTTCTAAGGATCAACTTACAGACATCTTCACTAAGCCTTTACCTCTACCACAGTTTGTGGCTTGTAGGCGCAATCTTACCCTTCTTAGTTCTTTAGAAAGTGGCTAAGATTGAGGGAGGGTGTTAGACTACGTATATTGTACCTATTGTAACACACCCATTATATATATGAGATAAGCCACCCCTAGAGGGTTGTGCTGGTTCCCCCAAAACTTGTTGTCTTACAATGCAGAATTTTATCCAGGTGCAAGTTGGCAGATCACCAGTTTAAATCAACGGTCCCCGAATTGCCTAGTACAGTAGTAGTACAGTAGGTAGTAAAAAAAGTCCCGAGCCCAAACCCCCACCGAAACCTAGTTTCATAGCGTTCAGCTCCCAGCCGCCACCCCACGTTACCATCGCCACGCCCACGCTGCCCAGCTCCTGCTACCACTACCAGTCGCCGCTCCCTGCTCAACGCCACAGACTCACGCCGCGCAGCCCAACGCTCCTCGCCACATCTCTCGCAGGCCACCAAAACACCCCGCTAGCAGCTGCGCTGTCTGCTGCTTCCACCACTGCTCCGGCGTAGTGCAGATGGCGGCGGCTCTCGGCCCGGCGGCCACGCTCCTCGGCAAGGTGTTCAAGATGCTGTCCGCCGTCCCGGTGGCAGCGTACGTGGACAGCCTCAAGCTCGGCCACAACTCGGAGCAGATCAAGGACAAGCTACTGCACACGCAAGGCCTGCTGCACAACGCCCAGGCCCAGGGAAGCCACCTCAGCGACAACCCTGGTCTGCAGCGCTTGCTGGAGAAGCTGAGCCGGGACGCAGACCAGGCGGAGGACCTGCTGGATGAGGTCCACTACTTCCGGATCCATGACAAGCTCCACGGCACCACCTACGCCACCACCCAAGAGGCCGGCCATCAAGCTCTCCACGCCGGTAGTGCTATTCACCACTTGTTCGGGTGCTGTTCTTGCTCACGTACACCCAAGAGCAAGAGGGATGGTAGTGATGATGCTGCTGCTGCTGTTGCCGGTGCACCACGCTACGTCACCAACACCCTAGGCACCTTGCTCCACTGCTTTTCTTGCTCCCCCTGTACACCCAAGAGCAAGAAGAATGGTGGTGGTGGTGATGCAGCAGCTGCTGCTGCTGCCGGCGTCACAAACTCCAACTCTGCTAGTGCTGATGATGGTGATACGCTGCATTTCGACAGAGTGTCCATCTCCAGAGAAATCAAGTCCCTGTTACAGGGCATGCAGTCCCACTGTGATTTGGTCTCCAATTTGCTCGGCAATATCTCAAGCAACAACACGCCAGTCGTCCTGCATCGGCCTCAGACTGTTTCCATAATTATACAAGATACATTGTATGGCAGGAGAGACATTTTTGAGGAAACTGTCAATCGGATCACGGTTACCGCTGCCACACAGACTGTTTCTGTTCTTCCTATAGTTGGTCCAGGGGGTATTGGAAAGACAACTTTCACCACTCATCTGTACAATGATGCAAGGACTCAAGACCACTTCCAAGTCAAGGTTTGGGTATGTGTATCCACTGATTTCGATGTTCTTAAGCTCACCAGGGAGATCCTTGGCTGCATAACTGCATCTGAAGGTGCAAGAAGCAGCCGCGTTGCAAATGGGACAACCAATTTAGACCAGCTTCAGCAATCCATAGTGCATCGTCTCAAATCCAAGAGGTTTCTGATTGTCTTGGATGATATATGGAAATGTGACGGTGGGGACCTGTGGAAAACTCTGTTAGCTCCGTTCTCAAAGGGGGAAGTCAACGGAAGCATGGTACTTGTCACAACTCGATTCCCAAGGTTAGCACAAATGATGGAAACAGTTGGTTCACTAAAACTGGCAGGTTTGGAGCCTAATGACTTCTTCACATTCTTTGAAGCATGTATATTTGGTGAACACAACAAGCCTGAGAAATACCAAGATGAGTTAGCTGGTATTGCACAAAAAATTGCAAATAAGCTAAAGGGTTCCCCGTTGGCAGCCAAAACAGTTGGTAGACTATTGCAGAAGGACCTTTCTCAGGAACATTGGAATGGAGTTCTTGAAAAGGATGAGTGGCTAAAGCAGAAAAATAAGGATGATATCATGCCATCTTTAAAGATTAGCTATGATTGCCTCCCTTTTGATCTGAAGAAATGCTTTTCCTATTGTGGCCTTTTCCCTGAAGATCATTGGTTTACTTCTTCAGAAATCAATCATTTCTGGGTTGCAATAGGCATCATAGACTCTGATCACCAAGCCGATAGGAATTACTTGGAAGAACTAGTGGACAGTGGTTTTCTCATGAAGAAGAAAAAAAATTATTGGGATGATCGATACAAACAAAAGGAATTTGAATGCTATGTAATGCATGATTTAATGCATGATCTATCAAAGAGTGTTTCTGCACAAGAATGTCTCAATATAAGCTGCTTAGATTTCAGAGCTGATGCCATCCCACAATCTGTTCGGCACTTATCTGTCAACATAGACGACAGATATGATGCAAATTTTGAGCAAGAAATGCGTAAACTAAGGGAGAAGATAGACATTGCTAATCTGCGGACTTTGATGATTTTTAGAGAATATGAAGAAGAAAGAATCGCCAAGCTTTTGAAAGATAGCTTCAAGGAAATAAATAGTCTGTGTGTCCTATTTCTAGTGGTGAAGTCTGCACAATCTTTTCCATATAGGTTTTCAAAACTTATCCACCTCCAGTACCTCAAAATTACGCCATCTTACTACAGTGACAGGGAAATGAGTTTACCTAGTACATTATCAAGATTTTATCACTTGAAATTCTTGGACCTAGATCGTTGGCATGGTCGTTTTGATTTGCTTGAAGATTTTGGCCACCTTGAGAATTTACATGATTTCCATGGTAGCAGTGAAATGCACCCCAATATTTGCAATGTCGAAAAGATGAAGCATCTGCAGGAGCTAAAAGAATTCCATGTGAGGAAAGGGAGCATGGGATTTGAACTGACAGAACTTGGGGCATTGACAGAGCTTGAAGGAGGACTGATTATACATGGTCTTGAACACGTGGTAAACAAGGAGGAAGCTACTGCAGCCAAACTGAAGTTGAAAAGGAATATGAAGGAGTTGAAATTACTCTGGGGCAGAGATGGACCAACTACAGATGCTGATATTCTTGATGCTCTCCAACCACACTCTAATCTTAGAGTACTTACAATTGCAAATCATGGTGGTACCGTTGGGCCTAGTTGGTTGTGTCTTGACATCTGGTTGACAAGTTTAGAGACTCTCACTCTAGAAGGCGTATGTTGGAGCAACCTCCCACCTTTTGGGAAGCTACCAAATCTCAAGGGACTCAAATTGAAGAAAATTTCTGGAATTCATCAGTTTGGGCTTGGATGTGGTGGCGCTCCACGCAAATGTTTTATGCGCTTGAAGACAGTTAAGTTGTATGAGATGCCAGAACTTGCTGAATGGGTTGTGGAACCTAATTGTTGTTCCTTTCCAAGTCTTGAAGAAATCATATGCAAGGATTGTCCCAATCTCCGCTTGATGCCCTTCTCGGAGGTATCTTGCACCAATTTGCGCAGACTTGAAGTTGATGGGTTCCCCAAGATGTCTCTGCCCTCCATGCCTCACACCTCCACACTGACAGACTTGAATGTTACGAAAGGTGGTCCAGAAACGTTGTTGTCTTATGATGGAAAGAAATTGGTTGCTAGAGAGTATGGCGGTGCTTTGGCCTCCCACAATCTGGATAAAGTAGAAGATATGACTGTCGGAAGATACGACGGTTTGTCCCCTGAAGAGCTGGATGGCAGTATTGTCTTCAGTTCAGTTAAGAGTCTCAAATTAGATGCTTCTCATCTTACCAACAAATCATCGTCGTCAAAAGTGTTAAACTGTTTCCCAGTTCTTTGTGTTGAAGATAGATGGCTCTGAGGAATGTGTAATGCAGTTACCATCTTCCAGCTCACTGCAGAAACTTATCTTCTGGGAGTGTGAGGGCGTGGTTCTTGTGCCTGTAGAGAATGGAGGAGGAATTCAGGAGAACAACTCATTGCTCCAATCATTATCAATATTCGATTGTCGCAAACTCTTCTCTCGGTGGCCCATGGGAATGGGAGAATCAGAGACCATTTGCCCTTTCCCTGCTTCCTTGAGGGACCTTTATGTTTGGAAAGAGCCAAGCATGAAGTCAATGGGTCTGCTCTCAAACCTCACGTCTCTCACCAGTCTAAGCCTAGAGAGCTGCAGTAATTTAATATTGGACGGATTCAATCCTCTCATCGCAGTCAACCTCGTACAACTGGCAGTGAGTAGGTGCAACACCTTAGCAGCAGATCTGCTCTCAGAGGTGGCCTCTCAGAGGGCCAAATTATTTCCTGCAGGTTACATCTCTAGATTGGAGGTACTCAGGGTGGATGACATTTGTGGATTGCTCGTTGCTCCTATTTGCAACCTCCTCGCCCCGGCCCTCCACACACTTGATTTCTCGTGTGATGAGAGGATGGAAAGCTTGACGGAAGAGCAAGAGAAAGTGCTGCAGCTCCTCACCTCCCTCCAGAACCTAAGTTTTTTCTGGTGTGAGGGTCTGCAGTCCCTTCCTCAAGGGTTACATCGCCTTTCTTCTCTCAAGGTGTTACGTGTCGTTAGGTGTGAAAATATCCGATCGATGCCCAAGGAGGGTCTCCCGGTTTCGCTGAGAAAACTAGCGATGGATGGTCGGAGTGCTGAGATAGACGAGCAAATTGAGATAATCAAAAGAACAAACCCAGATTTATCCGTCTCGAATTATTGACTACACCCAAGGTAACACTTGTCACCTCCCTATTTTTATGGTTTTTCTATTTCTGATGAAGCGAGGTTTATTTGCCATCCATATATTTGTGCCTCATCTTAACCACTGTTGTCAAATCTTACAGACTAGCAGGTTCCACTCCACCACTGTTCCAATCTTTTGTGCACATTAATCTGCCTGGTTAGGACACAGAAAGCCCACTTCTACTCCTTTTATATGAGTTCATTGACAGCCCATTCCTGATTCCTCCTGTGCATCCTCCATGTGTACAAAGTATGGACATGGTATTAATTAATTCTTATGCATCTTACCTTTTCTTAACAAAATTATTCTTAATTTCTTCGACAGGCTTGGTAGCCTCTCATCTAGAGCTAGCGCACTGTTTTACAGCTTGCATAAGAGTTTGAAGGATAAGGTGAATATCTATTAGTATATTTTAGGTTTAACTTTTTGTAAATCATCTCATTAAGTAAAAAAAGAAACGAAATCTGCATTGTAGTTAGTTGGTCCTGTGTGGGAATTTGCTTGCTTCTGTATGCCCGGCCCTATGTAAACATGGAACTCTGTCATGTGCGTGCATTTTCTTCGTCAGGCCTTATGTTACACTCTACAAGAGAGAATGCTTTCCAAATTGTTTGACTGTTGAAAATGGATTATTTAGCCTGATACTGAATTATTATTCTAGGACCGAAGAAATGAGGATTATTCTTTGGTGAGTGGCCAAGTTTAGTTTATGCTGGGGCAGAGTACTGAAAGTATTGTACCCTCGCGGAGCTGCACCAAAAGATCTCCGCCTCCCTCCTCCCCGTGGTGGTGGGCGGAGATTTTAACCTCATCCGGTCCCCGGACGAGAAGAATAATGATAGGATTAACCTCCCCCGGATGCAGTTGTTCAACGACTGGATCGCGGAGCTTGGCCTCCGTGAAATCGAGAGAACGGGGGCGAGATTTACCTGGACTAACCGCCAGGCTGACCCGACACGATCCGTTCTGGATCGTGTCCTAGTTTCCCCGGAATGGGAATTGAGGTGCCCCTTAACCTCGCTGCGGGCGATCACCCGCATTGGGTCGGACCACGTCCCTCTTCTCCTCTCCTCCGCGGACGAGCGCCCCGCCTGCCCGCCGCGGTTTCGTTGAGTCCTATTGGCTCAACCAAGCCGGCTTTCGAGAAGCGGTCTCGGCTCGGTGGGAGCTTGCCCGCGCCTCCCCTCATCGCTCCATGTCCGCCGTCGACTCGTGGCACTTCTGCGCCAAGCTTGCCCGCCAATTCATGAAGGGTTGGGGGGCCAATCTTGGCCGGGACCTCCGCGAGCGTAAAAAGTCTCTCCTGCTGGCTATTCAAGCCCTGGATGCCCGGGCCGACTCCTCTGGGCTCTCTCCGGATGAGTGGATGCTGAGATATGATCTTGAGGATCAGCTTTTCACCATCTACACAGACGAGGAGGCCTATTGGCGGGCGCGCGGTACCCAGCGGTGGGTGCTCCGCGGGGATGCGAACACTGCTTATTTCCAGGCGATTGTGAATGGCCGCCGCCGTAGAAACTCCATACACTGCTTATGGGAGGATGACGTCCCCCTCGTCCGTCCCGCGGCCATTCGGGCCCATGTCGACGGCTTTTTCAAAGCCCTCTTTACCCCCACCCCTCGGGGTGGGGCTAGTCTCGCCCCCGATACTTGGAGGGGGGCCCAGTTTGTGTCCGACGAGGCTAACGCGACCCTAGTGGCCCCCTTCACCGAGGATGAGGTGCTCGCATCCATTAAAGGCATGAACCCTCCCTCGGCCCCGGGCCCCGATGGCCTGCATGTTGCTTTCTTCAAAACATTCTGGCAGGCGATCAAACCGGAGGTCATGGCTCTGTTCGAGGAGTTCTATTCGGGGGCTATGGACCTGGGATGCCTGAACTATGGGATCATTACCCTCATCCCCAAGGTTCCGGGCGCCTTCGATATTCGCCAGTTCCGCCCCATCACTGTGATTAATGTGATATTTCGGATCTTGGCTAAAGGGTACACCAATAGGGTGACCCTGCTGGCTGACTCGATCACTCACCCGAACCAATCGGCCTTCATTCAAGGCCGATTTATTCTTGATGGCGTGTTGGTCTTCCATGAAGTCCTCCACGAGGTCCGGGTGAAGCATCATCGTGCTGTATTCCTGAAGCTTGACTTCCATAAAGCCTATGATACTGTCCATTGGCCCTTCCCGCGGGAAGTGCTGTTGCGTAAGGGCTTTGATGACCGCTGGGTGACCCGCGTGATGCAATTAGTTTCTTGTCGGAGGACGGCCGTGAACATTAACGGCGAGATTGGGCCCTACTTCCCCACCCTATGTGGGGTCCGTCAGGGAGACCCATTCTCGCCGTTTCTGTTCAACATGGTGGTCGATGCTCTGGCCGCCATCCTGGATAAGGCTAAGGGTGCTGGCCATATTCACGGCATTGTCCCTCACCTAGTTGGAGGGGGAGGGGTCTCCCTTCTGCAATACGCGGACGACACCATAATAATGGTGGAAGGTTCAAATCAGGACGTAGCTAACCTAAAGTTCCTCCTCCTTTGCTTCCAGCAGTTCTCGGGCCTCACGATTAACTTCGATAAGAGCAAGGTGATGGTCCTTGGCTACCCTCAGGCGGAGGCCCAGTCTATTGCCGATCGCTTGAACTGCAAGCTGGGGTCCTTCCCCACGACCTACCTGGGGATCCCCGTTAGTGACTCGCGCCTCACCGTGGCGGACCTCCGCCCTACGGTGACCCGTATGCAACACCGCGTCGAACCTTGGAAAGGGCGTTGGCTATCAAAGGCGGCGCGGGTGATCCTCATCAACTCCTCACTTGCCAGCCTCCTTTGGTTCCTCATGAGCTTTTACAGCCTCCATGAAACGCTGCACACGGAAATTGCCAAATACCAATCCAGGTTCTATTGGGCTGGCGACGATGACAAGCAGAAGTACCACATGGTGAGTTGGCCGGACATTTGTAAACCCAAAGACCAGGGGGGTCTTGGGATTTTGTCATCCCGCCGCATGAACATCGCCCTCCTGACCCGGTGGCTGTGGCGTATCGCCTATGGTGACGGAGGGCTATGGCTCACCATCATCCGCAGCAAATATCTTCGTGGTCAGCCTCTAGCTTTCTGTCAATGGTCGGGCGGATCCCAGTTCTGGCAGGCCGTCGTGCAGTTGCTCCCCGTACTTCGTATCGGCACGTCCATCTCGGTTGGTACTGGGTCCGCGACCCTGTTCTGGTTCGATCGGTGGCTCGGTGACGCCCCTATGGCCGCCCGCTTTCCCGATCTCTTCGCCATTGCTGTTGACCCTCGGGTCTCTGTTGAGACGGCGCTTATTGACTTAGGGCGCCTCACGTTCCGTCGCCCTTTCGGGCCCCTGGAAGTGGCCGCCTGGGACTCCCTCCTCCAGGACATCGCCCTTCTCCCGATGAGTGTTACTGACGCCCCGGATGCCATCTCGTGGCGCCTAGAGGCCTCCGGCCGTTTCTCTACTAGATCCCTGTACGCGGCCATCGCGCCTTCGCCCGCTCCCGAGCCCTTTGGACTCATATGGGACATCCGGCTGCCTCTGAAGATTAGGATCTTCCTTTGGCAGTGGATTCGTGGCCGCCTCCCCTCTGGTGTCGAAGTCCTCAAGTGCAACGGACCCGGAGATGGGCTCTGCCCTTTGTGCGGCACCGCGGAGGATGCTAACCACATCTTCTTCACATGCCATGCGGCACAGTTCCTCTGGTCCTGCTTCCGCGAGACGGTTGGCGGACAGTGGTGCAACTCCAACTTCCCTGACCTCCTTGCGGAAATCCTTGCCTCCCCTCCCCGCCACCGCCATATCCGCTGGCTTTGCGTTGGAGTTCTCGCCTGGACGCTGTGGACTGTTCGCAATAAGCTCGTCATCCAAAAAGTCCCTCTACGTCGCGCTACTGACGCCATTTTTAAAATGTGTGGGTACTTGCAGCTTTGGCGGCCGCTTAGCCGCCCTCAGGATCGGGACGTCATCAACACCCTCCTCGCCGACCTTCGATCGCTCGCCTTCCGCCTGGCGCCTCCGCTTCCGCCGCCCCCACCGGAGCCCGACTAGATGATGTCCTTCTTTCTGCTTTAGGGCTTGTTGAGCTGTGCCCTCAGCATTAACCCCCCTTTATTTGTGTGTGAACTTGTTGTGTGTACTTGTTGGGTGTGGATTTGCGTGTGTTTGTGAGTTCCTTGTGAACTGTTGGCTTGGGCATGTGCTTTATAATATAAAGCGGGGCGAAAGCCTTTTTCGGTAAGTATTGTACCCAGCTACGTACAATCTTGCACGGACATTTTGCATGCATACAGTTTTAGGTTTCATTGGAACTCACAGGTAATGAATGATCGGGTGTGTTTAAGTTACCTTAGAGTGCTTTGTTCATACTCTGTCTGACCCAAGTTTATTTTATTTTATTGGATTCTGCAGTCTGAGTAGTGAATTTCACAGCTGATTCAGAGCAAACAAACTTGGTATGTTGAAAGGTGAGTACATCACACTTTGTTCTCATTTTTCAATTTTCTCAAAAGTGTTGTGAACTAAAAGATTGTAATCTCTCTCTGAATTACTTGAATCTGTCTGTCGCCAGAATGTTGCTGCTTTCTAAATTCGAAGGGCCACTTTCCTCAAGCACCAGCTGACACAATTGTGTGCGTGTTTGCAGAATGGAATATCGACGAACTGATGGCTCGTGGTGGGGTGTCCTTGGTTCCTTGAGGACTGGGCTTTGTGGATGGATTCCAACAAGGGACTAGTTATCCAAAGGGTGCCAAGGTGCGAGATGGTGGTTATTGGGATTCAGCTTCAGCCTCGCTCACACCACTTGACAAGAAATTTTTGTGTATTCGCCGGCCTCTGTAAATTAAATCATGATTTTGTTCCGTGACCACGGACGGACGGACTGATGGATGATGCCAGTGTTGTTGGGTGTAACTGTCATTAGCACAAAAAATGCTGGCCAGTACATTCACGCTTAATAATGTCTAAG